AAAATTAGGCATCCGCCTCCCCCGTTTTTCTCCAGAGCACTTACTGTCATATGACATGTTATACATTTTGTCAGGGCAGGGATTTTGTCTGTTTATGCCATGTGCCCCATGCCCAGAACAGTGGCTGCCACATAGTAGGTGCTCAGTAATTATTTACTACATGAGTGATTTTTATTGCCACTCAACAACTCTCTCACGAGGCTGCCAAACTATCTAAGAGAGAATCAAGTTACTAAGTGCATAGCATAATTTGTCATGTGTTCTAGGTAAGTTTGGTTACTAAGCTCTTTCCAGTTTCAGCATGTAGGGATATATTCTTTTCAAGGCCAAGATTTAAAATGAGTCTCTCAATTTATTTTTTCCAACAGTTCTTGTGATATTGGCTGTCTTGGGATTTTCCTTATTCATGCGAGGAAAACATAGACCACAGTCACAAACAAGGTTTTAAGTGGTGGTTAGTCTTGAGAAATTCTTAAGTTAGTCTTGAGAAATTCTTAAGTTACAATCATGAAAACAATGGTTTCCTAAATCACCAAACATACGCAGCAAATATCATGAGGACATCTTAGAGCTACAGCACACACCGCAACCAAGAGTAGCTGCTCACAGCAACTAGAGAAAGCCCATGCAAAGCAATGAAGACTCAATGCAGCCAAAAATAAAATAAATTAAAAAAAAAAGCAAAGAGAACAAGAGCATACAATGAAAAGTCTCGCTATCACTCTCAACCCCAACTCCTTCTTCCAGGTGCAGTTTGACTATCCTTTCAGAGATACTATATGCATATCTAGCCAATATTCTCCACTAGAAGCATTGTGCACTCTGTTCTACATCTTGCTAGTTTTCATTTAACATCATATACTGCATATTGATCTTAATAACACATAGAGCTATACCTTGGTCTTTTTCTAATGGCTGCACAGAATTATTGTACTAATGTGCTTCTTTTTTAATTTAATTAACTAGGGTCTTCTGCTGATGAACATTTAGGTTGTTTACGATCATTTGTTACCAAGAATAATGCTACAATGAATAGTTTTATTTATTTATCTGTGCATATGTGTGCTATTAACCATAGGATAAATTTCTATTAGTGAAACTGCTGGGTCAAACAGCACGCACACTTAACTTTTTTTTTTTTTTTTTTGCGGTATGTGGGCCTCTCACCGCTGTGGCCTCTCCTGTTGCGGAGCACAGGCTCCGGACGCGCAGGCTCAGCGGCCATGGCTCACGGGCCCAGCTGCTCTACGGCATGTGGGATCTTCCTGGACCGGGGCACGAACCCATGTCCCCTGCATTGGCAGGTGGACTCTCAACCACTGTGCCACCAGGGAAGCCCCTCACATTTAACATTTTGACAGAATTGTCAACTTGACTTTTGAAGAGCTTATACCAATTTACACTCTCACCACCAATATATTATGGACTTCACACCCTTTCCAGCTCAATATTGCATCAAAACTTTTGCCCTTTCAGTCTGAGAAGTAAGAAAACAGTACTGCATTGTGGTTTTACTTTTCATTTCTTTGAAGTAAAATTTTCTGTTGTCTGACTAGTACATGTGAGAGCTATAAAAGGAATTTTAGTTCTTAGTCATTTCTGTTGAAAATACTAAATACTTTTTCCTGCTTTGTCTTTTAACCTCATTTACAGAATGTTCAGAAATTTTCATTATTATGTAATTGTATTTACTAATCTTTTCTATCACGGTGTCTGGATTTCTAAAAATATTCCATAGGTAACCTTCCTCACTCTGAGACTATAAAAACTCTTAGTCCATTTTCTTTTAGTACTTTTACAGGCTTTTTTTTTTTTAAATACTAAACATCTTGAATCTACCTGAAATTTATTATGCCCTAGGTAGTGAGAAAAGAACCCAACTTCATCACAAAAACTAACCAACTTGTTTCTCATTTGTTAAAACCGAAAGTGTTATTTTACATATATTCTCCAATTTCTATAATAATTTTACACTCTGATCTTACTATATGCTTAAATGTGCAAGATGACATCACAAGACGATTGTAGTATGATTAACTTCCCCAAACATGTTAAAGCCTAGGTTTTTAAGATATCTTATGTATGCATCTTACTGCAGAATGTTAGATAAGAAATGATATTCTGTTTGTAGATTGAACAGTTCTACCGAGAAATAGGTGTATCTTTAATAGGCTAAATAGGATGTAGGGAAAAGTACT